GTCCCCACCAGGGTCTTCTCCGTCCACTGGTGCATCATCCGGCCGGCTGTGCAGACATGTGGCCTGTTCTTTCCCCCAACCCATGTGGTGGGCTGTGGTTGGAAACTGCATTTTGAACTTTGACGAGTGTGAAGGTGACCTTGAGGTTTCCTGCCCCCTTGAATCCCTCCCCAAAAACTGGGTCTATAAACCTTGCAGCTCCAGCCCTGGAGCAGAGGCACTGCACTGACTGCAGACATGCAGGTTCACTTCTTGTTTCTGCTCCCCACGGCCTTTCTCCTGCCCCCCGGGACTTGGGCTGGTGAGTACAGCTGGGCTTGGGGGACCTGGGACTTTGGGGAGTGTGGGGGTTCACAGGGATTGGGTTCTGTGGGTGCAATCTCAGGGCTTGTGACAGATTAATCCCTGTTGTTCATAACTTATTATGATACATTTTATTTCAAGTGTGAAGTACCACCTGAAAACTCGTAATTTCCTGACCATTATTGTCTTGATAAAATAGCTGTGGCTGGTAAAGTGATAAGATTATCCTGCTGGGTGTTACTCAGACATGTTTTAAGTGTGTGGAGCCACCACAAACTGGTTCCCCACAGGCAAAAGACTAGCCAATGCCTCAGCCAGGTGTCAATGGAATAAAATGGCCCTTCACCAGGTTAAACTGGCCATTCTGGGGCAGGAAGTAGGACCTGGGTGAAAAATGTCCATCATGGTGAATGAAGAGCTTGGGGTTCCCACCTGCCTTTTGTCTCCTAAGCCCCAGTGGGAGATGACTCTCAAAGAAGTATTCCCAACACCGGACTCTCAGAGGCAGCCACAGTAGATTCGGGGGAGGGATCGGGGGGGAGCCAGAAGGTTTGCAGGAAAGAGGAAGGAAAGATCTCCCCAGGCAGAGATGAAAACGTGTCGCTGTCCAGTTCAGCGGTGATGTCTGCGACAGAGGATGGGGGGGGGTTGTCTTACCAAGAGCCAATAACCTCGGTGTCAGCTGCTGCTCAGGGAAGGAAGAGCCGGGGAAAAGAAGAAAAAGATCCGCTAGGTCAGTGACAGCAGCTCCGAGCTGCACCCAAAGGGAAAGACCCTGGGTCCCATTCCCCACCCCGAAATCAGCCTGTCCCTGTCTGGGGGTTCGCAGGCCTGCTCGGGTTCGACCTTGGCTACAACACTGTTGAGGCAAGTCCAGGTGGTGACTCACCCACTGCTGGTGCATTTTTCACAAGCTCCTGACAGAGGGATCAGATCTTTGATTTCCCTCTGTTTTACTGGGGGTAGGCCCTTTATCCTGCCTCTCACAGCGCCGCCCGTCCTGACCCAACCTGACCCAACCCCGAGGGACCCAGGAGTCCAACCCAACTGTCTAGACGCAGTTCCTTCAAAAAGGGCAGGCTTGTTCGAAAGAGCCTGGAAACCTCAAACAATGCTACAGTTGATCGTCAGACGAGAAGGCTTTTCACTCAAGAGTTAGTCCTCTTTCTAAGAGCTCTTGCGCAAATAGGCATGTGTAGATGGATAACAGGGGTTTCTTGCACAGGAAACGGCTCTGGGAAAAAGCACAGGTGAACGGCCATTAGAGATTTCTTGCACAAGAGCTTCCACGCAGTGTGGACACTCTCTTGTGCAAAAGCACACAGCGGTGTGGACGTGCATTTCCATAAGAAGTTCTGTGCAAAAAGCCTGCAGTATTGATGTAGCCCCAGGGGCTAAGTGTCTCTCTGCTGTGTCATTTCACCTCTGCACAGTCCCAGCTCCCAGGTGTGGGATGTCACAGAAACAGCCACATCCCCTGCATGTGGTCACAGACTCCCTGGGGGGCTTCTGAGAAACCTTCCCCCTGCAGTCATTAGAAAGGGGGGCTGGTGCCTGCTCTGGCCAGCTGCAGCCAGCTTATGTCTGCCCCACCCTCCCCCAAGACAGATGAAAGGGCCTGGGTCCCACCTGCCACCAAGATCAATCGCGTCAACCTCAGCCCCCCCGCCCCCACACAGAGACATCAGCAGGGAGCTGAGCGGGGACAGCGACAGGTGAGTCAGAGCCCCAGATGT